GAGGTGGGCCAAGGGCTTCCCAGGTCACTTTATCCTTTTCTACTTTATTACTTCAAATTAACAACCACAATAAAGCTCAAAAAAGTCCAATATTTACACAGGAAAAAAGTACAAAATTCCCCCCAAAGTTCTTCGGTATTTTTTTTTCAGTTTTTTAAATTACAAAGTAATAAAAAGCTTTGCTCTTTAATTAAAAAAAAGAAGAAAGAATAAAAGGGGAAACAGAGGTAAATAAATTAGGAAATACACACACGGAAAAAAAAAAAAACAAAAATAAAGTAAAAAAGGGTTAACTAGGTGGGATGGATAAATCCAGTGCCCAGCCCTGAACTCCAGGCTCCTCCTGACAGAGACAGAACACTGGGAAGGGGGAACCCAGGTGAGTGTCAGAACCAGGGAATTAATTCTTAACCCAGGAGCCAGATGCTTTCTGGAAGTAGTCTCCACGGATTCTGCCCCAACACCAAAAAAGCGGGACCACAGGCCGAGGACAGTCTCAGGGGTCGGTGGTGGCAAGGACCGTCTGTGCCCTTCTTGAGGGACATGGAGGTCACCACCCACCCCCATGTCCTTGTCAGGGGCATAAGAAAAGTCGGCCTGGCAAGCGGGCGGGACACCTGCTGTTCTGGGAGACAGAGGTCAGATACATACACACCCACAAGGACTCTCAGCCCCACCGCCTCACCACCCCACTCCTCAAGGTCTCTGTGGGGAGGCAGAGAAGGGACCCTTACGCTCACGGGGGCACTGGCGAACGCCCAACACAGAAAGTTGGTGACCTTCATCTCAGGGGGTGGTGGGGCCTGCACTTATCTTCTAAGGTCCCCAGGCTCATGAACACCCAGCAGGACCTGCCTCTGACCAGCTAATCCATTCCCCCAGCGCCTCGGGCCACCTCCCGAGGGCCTGTGAGGACCCGCTGCAGTTCCAGTGCGGAAATGTCCCTCCTAGCCAAGTCAGGTGGCGGCTGGGTGGGGCCGTGGCATCCAGTGAGTGTAGCCTGGTATCTGGGAGCCTCTGGCAGCCTGAAGGTTGTGGGCGGCGGGGAACGTGAAGGGACAGGATTCTCTGTGCCGAGGGTATCCCATCTTCTTGCCATCAGCAAATAAAAAAAGTAAAAATAAAAAAAATTCGAAACAGAATCCATCGTTGGTTTTGTGCTGGGTTTTTTTCTTTTTGTTCTTTTGAGTGGTTTCTTTTCCCCATCTTTTTGTTGTTGTTGTTGTTGTTTTAAAGAAAATACAGTGAAGACACTAGAAAGGGAGAGAGAGAAGACAGATCAGGTGGGCATCCGCCCCAGCCACCCATCCACCAGCCGCCTCCTGCTCCGGTCTCCCCGGCCCCAAGGCTCTGTGCTTAGTCGCTCAGTCGTGTCCGACTGTCTGCGACCCCATGGACTGTAGCCCGCCAGGCTCCTCCGTCCACGGGGATTCTCCAGGCAAGAACACTGGAGTGGGTAGCCATGCCCTCCTCCAGAGGATCTACCCAACCCAGGGATCGAACCCAGGTCTCCTGCACTGCAGGCGGATTCTTTACCATCTGAGTCACAGTAAGTGCTCCATTTTCACAGAAAAGACACAGAATCACTTTCTCTCCTCTCTTTTGGTGAACAGCCACCCCACAGCTACACAAACACCCCACCCTGCCATGAATGGGGCTGGTTCCTGGGCATGAGGCTGACAAAGGTGAACCCCGAATGCTGGCCCAGGGCTACGTGTGGAATACATGTCCACAAAGCAGGTCATACGCAGTTGATGTGAGGTCAAGCCCCTGAAATGTCAGCTGCTGCCAGCCACGTGCATATTCCCCAGGAGCTCAGACCACCCCTCCCCGACACACCCCCCCCCAAATTAGTCCCTGCCACATCCGCCTTCCAGATGGGGCCCCAGAGAGCTGAGCTGTAACACCCCGCCTCAAAGCCTCATGCAACCACAGGTCCCATCAAGGCTCATATTGACCAGAGGGCGCCCCCCACCCCTCCCGCCACCGGAGCTGGGGAAGTCACCAAGGGCCTTCTCAGAGAGCAGGTAAACTCCTGACTTCAAAGCTCTACTCTGTTTGCATGAATGAAGCGTAACAGCCCAGAGACTGAGACCCGGGCTAGAGCCCTGGGGAAGGTCACAGGGTGGGCCCTTGGGTTCCGTCCCTGCTACCAACTTCCCAGAACAGTTAGGACAGCGTGGGGATGGAAGGCCAGCCCCATACAGACAGAGAGCTTTCCGGCAGAAATTAGCTGGTGTGTGCTGGGCCTGCTCAAAGCACAATCATGGGTTCCTCCGGGGGCCGTGGGGGTCCAGACCCGGCTGGGCTGTGACTACAGCAGACGTCGACTCACCTAAGCAAATACTGGTCCGATGGGGGCTCCTCCTCACTTTCCGAGGTGGTCAAATGGCACGCTTGTCTGGGAGGAAGGGAGGCAGAAGGGTGGGAGGGGCTGAGCTGCTGGCAGGATAACTGGGCAAGTCTCTCCCCACTGTAGTGTTCTACCCTGCCAAGCCCCTCGCGCAGGGGAAGGAGTGGGTGTGTGATCTCAAGCACCCCAGATGTTCGCATTTTGTAGACAAGCACATGGCCCCGGGAGGCCCAGCAGCTGCTCAAGGCCGTGGGCTTTCCAGCTCTCGATCTGTTCTGCTGGGGTGCCGCCACCACCTCCGGAGGTCCAGAGCGGCTCTCCCTCCCACCTCTGCTGGACCCCTTCCCCGGGGGGGACTCCAGATCCTCCCTTCCCCACTTTCCTAGTCCACACACAGCCCCTACGTGGGGGCCACCCGATGGGGTCCGACCACCCCTCCATTCTGTGCTGACTGGGGATGGCGGGGGCATGCTGATGGCAGGGACCACAAGCCCCTCCGCTGTGAGCTCCCTGCCACCCACCCGGGCTGGGCCCCCTGGCAGAGGGCTGGGTCCCGACTCCCACTGCGTTGCTGGGGAAGCGGTGAGGCCCAGAAGGGGCTGGGGGCAAGGGCAGCTCACCTGTGAGGCTGAAATCCGGGAGACCTCTTGCCGCCCAGTGAGGTCGGAGGACGAGACGTTGGCGGGCGCGCCCCTGTGTAGCCTCATGCTCACCTTCCTCTCTCTGTCGACCCGTGAGATCGCTCTGGGAGAAGTATTGCCTGGAAGGCGAGGCGGATGTGGAGGGGCGGGGGAAAAGGGAAGCTGCCCTCAGCACCCAGGGCCCTGGCTGCCCTGCGCCCCCTGCCCGCTGCCCAAGGTGCACACTCACCAGCTTGCTGGATGCGGGAAGCAGGGGTGGAAGCCACAGGCTCCGCTGCACTGCGGAGCCGGTTGGCGGTGGCCCCCGTGGGCGGGCCAGGGGGCAGGGCCCGGGTCGCTGACCCCCGGAGCTGCCCCATCCTCTCCTCTCGCTCGTGTTCTCGCCGCTCCCGGTCCACATCCTCGGGGTTTCGGGCTGCACCCTGCAGGCATAAGACGAAAACCCTGGTCAGCCCTGCAGGGTCGGGGAGCTCCGGGATCCGGTACTCCATCGGGGTCAGAGCAGGGGAGGCAGGCCAGGGGCGGGGGGTGTCTCAGAAACCCTCTGGTCCCACCGCCTCCCCACAAAGCAGGCAGCCCGAGAGACCCGGAGATGCCCCCTGATCACACCGCACAGAGAAAAAAACAAAGCCACAAGACTGCCCAAGAGGAAGCTCGACCTGGGGAGCAGAGAAAGGTCACTCTGTCCTGGTCTCGTGGGGCCTGGAGTCAGAGCTGGAAGGACTGATGCCCCAGGATGGTCAACCAACCTAGGTCCCCCCCACCCCCATGTAGAGAGGGCCCTTGGCTCCTTGACGCTTCCAAACACAGCAGGGCAGGTGCTCAGAGGCCGAGAAAAAAGTTACAAAGCGAGCTGAAGGCGGGGCCAGGACTCAAACCAGGCCTCTCAGGGCCCAGTTAGGGGGATTTTTTCAAAGGGCTGTTCTTCCCCTAGACCTGGCAATGGTTTCACAACTAAGAGGCCCAAGGGACCCACACAGATGCTGCCTTGCTTGGGATGGGAGCTGGAGAAGGCATGGGCTAGATGCCCCATGGAAGAAAGAGGCACAGCAGGTAGACAGGGGTGGAAGAGGTGCGTGAGCCCCTGGGGGGCTCTGCCCTCTAGCCACTGCCACCCCCAGTGCAGGAGGAAAGGAGAAAGGCCCAGAGAGAGGAGTGCGGCATGGGGGCGGCAGCAGCCGCGTTACCTAGTTGGTCCTGGGGTCGTCCACAGAGAAGGGCGGGGGGCTGGCATGAGGGGGGCCGCATCTGTGAAGGAGAGAGCTGCAGGCTGAGGGGGGGGGGGGGGCAGCCTGCTCATGGGCCACAGGCTCCTATAACCCTGTCTCTCCCAGAGAATCAGCCGAGAAAGCCTGACTGTCCTTCGGAGATGAGATGGGGGCTGGCTTTGGACTTAAAAGCAACTCCAGGAGCTAGTGGCTGGGGGATCAGAGGATCCTTGGATCCTACAGGAAGAACCAGGGCCCAGAGAGGCCTCGGGAGGCCTAGGGCCGCATAGCTCAGGGCAGAGCTGGGCTACGTCCCAGTCTTGCTCCACTCTCCGTGCTCCCAGAGGACTCAGCAGAACATCCTAGAGACGTACGTTCTCCGTCCTCCCACCCTCAAGCCTGTCCAGACAGGCCGGGAAGCACCAGGGCGCCACCGCCTGACCCCTGGTCCTCACCCCAGGTTGTCACCCACTCGGTTAACAGATGGGGGGAGAGAACGACTGAGCCAGAAGCAGGGCCAAACCTGTGACAAGAGCTGCCATGCCCACTCATTAAATATCCCTCGGGGAGGGGGCGCATCCACCCTGCAAGGCAGATCCAAACTCACTCTCTGGTGGGGGGACACTGAGGCTCAGGGAAGTCAAGTGACTCCCCCAAAGGTGCCCAGCCCAGGGGTTGTGGCTGAGCAGAGGGCTGGAGCCCTCGCCCTTCGCAGGCTCGGGCCCACAGAGGCAGGAGGAGCTGAGTCACTCAGCTCGTATCCACCCAACCCAAGTGATGCCTCAAGAAACGCACACCAGGGAGGTCTCTCGGCTTTTATTTGCCCACGAGAAGACACAAAAGGTCAGTGTCCAAGTCACACGAGCCTTCCCCTGTGTCGTGCAGACCCCTGTCGTTGGCAGTGTCGAGTTTCCACCTGGCTGGCTGGTTGGACTTCAGAATACAGTGGCTCTGTGCAGCATCCCAGGCTCCAGGTACCCGGGGACTCTGGGGCCCTGATGCTGAACGATACGGCGTGGCCCCTCCAAGGAGGGAAGTTCTCAGTCAAGGACAGGATCCTTCCCACGGAAGAGTCTGCAGCCCTCAGTGCCCAGCATGGTGTCCGGTCTGCTGGCAGGTGCTGATGAAGGCTTCTTGCAGGCAGGGCAGGAGGGGTGAAGTGGGAGGAGCTTGGTCTCCAGTGAAAACGTGGAAGGTCCCCAGGGCGTGTCCACAGATACTTCTGCCAGGGGCAGCTGGAGGCGGTCAAGCTCACCATAGCGGGGACAGGGTCAAAGGTGCCCAGTTATCCAGTCCGATGGCCCTCAAGTCAGAGATCAGTGCGGGAGGTTGGTACCTCTGCTCAGCTTTTGGCTCCAGGGCCTGCCTCGACGGGAACTCCAGGAAGGGGTTAGGGTGCCAGCAATGGGTGGAGAGAGTGCTCCTGGCCTGGTTTGAGGCGAGATCTTGTGGGCTGGATGGTCCCATGAGAGGCTCTGTGGGGAGCCGTCTGAAGCTGCAGGTGCCCCTGGACTTTCTGCAATGATGGACGTGTTCATATCCACCTTGACGGGTGTGGCAGCCACTAGCTGGCCACCTGTGGCTCCTGAAAACTTTAAATATGGCAAACGCAACAGAAGAAGTATGTTTTCAGCTTTAATTAACTTTAATGAAAAATCAGCCACACGTAGCCAGTGGCTACCACATTGGCAGGCACAGGCCCAGACTTTGCAAAATCCACTCTCGGAGCTGTACCGAGAAGAAGGGCCAAACTCGGCCCCGAACCAGACTCATGAATGCCTCTGTACACAGGTGAGAGGGTGTGCATAGCACCCTAAACAGCACCCTGGGGCGAGAGCTGTGCTCCCAGCCAGAAGATCTGTGGTGATGGGTGCCACTGCCCATCTCCCACCCCTGGGGTCCTCCAGCCTGTAGGACACTTTCATCCTCCGCCCAACCTCTGCCTTGCTTCTTAGGCCGCTGTCTGAGAGTCAGAAAGAGCGCCAATCAGTGACCAAGCGCCGATCCCAGGGTCCTGGAGAACAAGGCTTCAGTCCTGAGTATCCGGCAGGAGGGTGCCCACCAAGAAAAGAGGCAGTCAAGAGGACACGCGGTCCAGGAAGGGGCGTTTAATGGGTTCAGGTTCAATACAGAGGCTGCTGGCGGGCTCTGGCCAAGGCTGTTCCTGGGGTCCACTGCCACCAGGCCCTTCTGGGCAAGGAACATTGGATCTCCTTCAGGCTCTGTTCATCAGGCCGCTGATTCGTCCCCAAGAATCTCACAGCAGGGCCTTCTCTGCCACGCCCTCTCCAGTGTACCCCCACCACGTCAAGGGATGTCTCCTCAGGCCTGGCCCCGATGGGCTTGGGGACACCTGGTGATGTCAGAACTGGGGCCCTGCAGTCCAGACCACAGGCCAGTAGTTTTGGGGGGGCAGCTCCTCCACCTCCTCCACGGGCCTATGTGGAGGGCCCTGGGTGCCCAGGGGCGCCGGGCACCTGGAAGGGACAGAGAGAGCACAGCGGAGGCTGAGCCTCTTGGGCTCCCCCACCCACCAGGCGGGAAGTATCGGAGAAGTCAGAGCCTGGAGGCGCTTACCAGTACATGGGTGGGTTCGCCGGCCTGACACAGGGACAGGGGCGGGGGCTGGGCAGTGCAACAGCTTCGCTGTCGCGGGGCTGAGCCTGGCTCGAGGAAGCCCCCTTCTCCAGAAGAGACGTGAAACAAGACACAGGATGTCACAGATTCCGGAGTCCCAGGCCCAGCGGACGAACACTTCCCACCCCACCCCCACGACTCTTAAGAGAGAGAGAGAGAAGAGAGGTGCCTAGCAAGACCCAGGGTGCCACAACCAGGGAGAAGGAAGCCACAATGAAGGGGTCCAGGCTGGCCAAGGGGGACTCAGCGAAGGCCACCAGCTGGCACGTGCAGGGCACCAAGAGCAAGACGCTGCAGGCCAGGATCAAGACAGCGGGGGGGCCCACCAGTGCCATCCGGGCCCGGCTCACCCAGGCGCCCAGGACGGAGGGGAGGCCCAGGCGGGCCCTCTTGGGTCCAGTGGGAGGCAGCGCCCCACCTGGGCCCGGCTGATCGCGGCGGCGCAGGCCGTCCGCACGGATGAGGCTGGTGTGGGGGTCACGTGCGCCGTCCAGCTCGTAGCACCCGGCTTCCGGGAGCCCCGCCCACCACAGGGTCACGTTGGCCTTCCCGGTCCAGTCCCCCAAGCCCGCCTCGGCCTTCAGGAGACTCACGAATTTGAGCATGTTCCAGTCGAAGACGTAGTCGTAGGAGAAGCCCTGCCGGTGGAAGAGGTTGCGGAAGAGCTGGCGCAGGTAGGAGTAGTCGGGCTTGTCGTCGAACCGCAGTGAACGGCAGAAGTTGAGGTATGTGGAGAACTCGGCTGGTGCGGGGGGCAGGGGGGACAGAAGGTGCCGTCATGAGGCCCACGCTCCCAGGGCCCCCCCCCCCATGGCGCTGTCCTACCCAGCCCCGCCCCGGACCTAAGATGGGTCAGGACGACGTCCTCCCTACCCCCAAAACAGTCGAGAACCTGATGGAAATTCTAAGCCACAGGAGGAAAACTTGGGTTTCCTCCTCTGAACATCAGAGGTGAGAGAGGGCCCTTGTGAGATAAGAGAACACACACACACTGGTTCCTCTCCTGGGGCGCCTAAGGCCCGTGTAATTTCCTAAGTGGTGAGGGCGCAAGGAGCATCCTGTCCAGTCCTCAACGGAGGAGACTCCAGGTGGCTCCCGATGGCAGCGGGTCAACAGAAAGACCAAGCCATGATCAAAAGGTTGGAACTCCTGGGGCCCACCCCTACTTGCTTCCCTAGAAAAGGGAGGGGGTCTGGGAACGGAGTTAATGGTCACCATGCTGATGGGATGAAGCCTCCATAAATATCACAACAGCATGGGGTCTGGAGAGCTTCCTGATTGGTGACCACATCCCCAACTCCACTCAAGATAGAAGCTCCTGCACTCGGGACCCTCCCAGACCTCATCCTACGTGTCTCTTCAACTGGCTGCTCATCGGTATCATTTATCACATCCTATCAAAAACTGGTGAAATGTCTTTCCCTGACTTGAGTGAGCCAAATTAATCGAAGCCGAAGAGCGAAACCTCAGATTTATAGCCAACTGATCAGGAGCACAGGCGGCAACCTGGACTCGTGATTGGCGTCTGAAGTGTGGTGGGAACAGCCATGTAGGATTGAGCCCTTAACTGCAGGGTCTGATGCTTCCTCCAGGGAGGTAGTGTCAGAAGTGAGTTAAAATGCAGGACACCCTGGAGTTGTTCCCGACACTCAGCCCTCGCGAGGTGTGTGGGCTGGGGACATGAGCTGAGCCTGAACAACGACAGAGCTGTGAATGACGGATGCTCTAGTGCTGGGCAGTGGTGGCCCAGAACAGGCTCTGTGCAGCCTCGCTGGCCCCTCAGAAGGGGCCCTGGGGACCGCAGGCTAAGCTTGTTGCCCCAGCGGGCTACTCACAGGGGTAGCCTTTGCAGAGGACCTCGATGGGCGTCGACATCTTCTTCTCGCTGATCCGCTCGTATTTCTGGCGCTTGGTGGCCGCTTTGAGGCCCTGCCAGGGCAGGGAGCCCAGGTTGAAGTACATGAGAACGTAGCCCAGACTCTCCAGGTCGTCTCGACGGCTTTGCTCTGCAGAGAAAAGGACAAGGTGAGGGGCAAGGTCCACCTGGGCTCCTGGCTGAGGGACCCCCTTTCTCCAGGGGTCTTTGATTAAGGTGAACAACCCCCCCTGTGCACTTAGCACGAGCCCACCCCCACCCCCCACATGCTGGCTGCACTCTTACCCCTCCTACAGGGCAGGGGCCTGAGGCTGGGCTTTGCTCACTCAACCTAGGCCTAGTGTCTCCAGCTCAGGCTCTCATCCATTTAGCCACTATGCAGTAGGCGCCCCGGGGCCTCCCTGCCCAGCCCAACCTGCGAATAAGGCCCAAGCAGTGGCATCAAACAGGGCTGGGTCAGACCCGACTTTAACGCCTGCTAAGCAGCACGGCCTAAAGTGCCTGTGTCACACAGTGGGCCTGCAGTTCCCACCCGGTAAAAATGGGGACACGTCCTTGCCCACCAAGGCTGCTGTGGGGATGACTGAGGCATGAGATAAAGAGTGCTTCTTGCGAAGGAGAAGACCTGCCTGTGTGACCAGCCACGGAATAAACCCAGGCTGCAGAAGGTAGCCAAGGTCCTGGCGGGCAGCCCACAGGTACCCTCTGCTTCCAGGCCTTGCGCACTCACCGATGCCCAGGTGGGTGTTGATGGAGGCGTAGCGGGCAGTGCCAGTCAAGTTCTTGTTTTCCCGGTAGGGGATGTGCTGGTGGGTGCGGGCGTCCCGGTACTTCTTGGCCAGGCCGAAGTCAATGATGTACACCAAGTTGCCCTTCTTCCCCAGCCCCATGAGGAAGTTGTCGGGCTTGACGTCCCGGTGGATGAAGTTCTTGGAGTGGATGTACTCAATGCGGCTGATCTGGGGGAGGGGAGAGCAAGTCACTCAGCAAGTGCTGAGGCAGGGGGAGCAGGCTTTGCCAGATGCTCGGAGCCAGGCCTGGACTCGGGGCTGGGGCCCTACAAATGGAAAACACACCCGTGGTCCCCTTCCAATGGATGGGGACCCCTGCCACAAGCAGAGGAGCAATATCAGTCTGCAACCACCATGTATGATGATTTCGAAGGGGCAGGTCAGGGAAGGCTTCCTGGAGGAAGTGACAGTAGAGGAAACTCTGATGGAGTGATTCATCAGGTTCACTGTGATGCAGGAAAGTGAATGGCAAGATCTAGAAAGGAAGTCCAGAAAGGCATTCAGGCCTCATCGGCCTGGTTCTATACCCTCAGGGTACAGAAGAGGCCCTCAAGGAACCAGAGAGGCACTTCGGAGGTTGTTCTGCCAGCCAGACTTGGGGGAACAGGAGTACACGGAACCCTAAGCTTGGTGGGCAGGGGAAGACAGAGATGAAGCACACAGGCAGGAATTAATCTCTGGCTGGAGGATACCAAAGTCAGGGAGACACGAGGACCTTCCTTTCAACAATGCGTTAGAAACACATGTTCACTGCTTCTCGGCCTTTTGGCTAAGATCAAGTGTAGAAACACATGTTAATAAATACGCACACAATCTGTCTTCTGGCAGGTTGGCCCCCTCCCTGGGCCTCAAGCTTCTGAATGTTTCCTAAACTCAAAAAACCTAGACTTCTTTGAGTTTCATGTTCTGTGAGAATGACAACCCTCTCTGCGCACACACATTTAGCCTAAAATTACAGGATGTCTGCGGACTTTCTGCAGGGCAGACACAGACACAGACCCTGGGGGACAAGGTCTCCATGTACCATTCCAGGGCCAGGATTTTTGGGGTTTTTTTTTGCTGTGCCATGCAGTATGTGGATCTTTGTTCCCTGACCAGGGATCGAACATGCGCCTCCTGAGTTGGAAGCAAAATCTTAACCTCTAGACCACCAGGAAAGTCCCCCAGGGCCAGGATCCTGTGCTTTACTTTTTAAAAATTTTTTTCTCCCTTGAATTTATAAAAGGATTGAGGATGCAAGCAACGCTCGTCCATGGGCATGGCACTAGGTGGTGTCCCAGATGACTCCACGAAGGGGAGCCACTCCTGAGGGGGCCCAGCAGCTCCCCTATGGCTGCTGCATGGGAACAGGCCCTAGGTCTGGGTGACCATGGGCTTTACAGTCACCCGAGGGCAGCGTCCCAGGCCTTCCGTGGGAGCCCAGCTGAGCAGGTCTGGAGTGGAAACTGGCAGTCTATGTTTTAATACCTCCTCCCCCAGCCATGGCTGATGGTCAAGGTCCCCTGGTCCCGGTCCCATGTCGCTATCACGGCTTCCTGCTCCAGCATCCTCTGGCTGGGTACCCAGTGTCCCCCTGGCCCGAGGGAGGAGGTGGGGGGACTCACCATCTGGTCGGCCAGGAGCAGCACAGTCTTGAGGCTGAACTTGCGGGAGCAGAAGTTGAAGAGGTCCTCGAGGCTGGGCCCCAGCAGCTCCATGACCATCACGTTGTAGTCCCCCTCGGCCCCACACCACTTGATGGATGGGATCCCCACTGCAGGGAGGCGGGGCAGTCAGGCGCCGACACTCCCCAGCCCACCAGTCCCTGGGCCCCTCCCCATGTGAGTGCCCAAGGCACAGGCACAGAGCTCCCACCCCCACGCCCACCGCCCCTCCGGCCCTCACCTCCCCCCTGCATCATCTTGTAGAATTTGCTCTCGATGTGCAGCTGGGGGTGCTTCGTCTTCACACACTCCAGCTTGATGGCAACTTCTTCACCAGAGGCGATATTGGCACCTGCGGGGACAGGGGGACCCAGGCCACACTCAGCTGGCCAGGCAGCCCCAGGCCAGGACCACTCCGGGCCTGCTCCTGAGCAGCTCAGTGTCCCTTGGGAAGAGGTTGAAAGGTGGCAGAGGCCCCGGGCTGTATCCACGGGAAGCAGAGGAACTGGGGCACAGAGCAGGCCCCTGACCCAGCCTCGGCAGGAAGGGAGAACCAGAGCTGCAGCACTTGCTGGGGGAAGGAGCGGAGGGCTGCGGCCATGCAGAGAATCGGAGGCTGGGGCAGCAGGCGGCCGGACGTGAGGGGCCAGGGCAGGGCCAAAAGCGTTCCCAGACCACTCAGGGGGGCTGTGTCCTGCAGAGTGGAGCCACTGAGGTCTCCCAAGCTGGAGAGAGGCGCAGTCAGTGGGGTGTGGAGCCGAGGAAGACAGCAGGCAGAGGGGCAGGGCTATTTCAAGAAAGATCCCAATCCAAGCTGCACCGGGCCTCAATTTCCCCAGCTACAGTCACGGGTAGGCTGAGCTAGAAGGCTGGGGGCTAAGCTGAGAGGCCGTCTCCTGCTGGGAGTCAAGGGGGTCTATAGCTGCCATCACTAAATGGTGTGATCTCAGCACAGAGACAACACAGAAAGTCTGGAGCGGGACACAGCCGCTGGAAGAAGGGGGGCAGGATAAATCCAGGACCTCAACCCGGGGACGCCCGAGATGGGGCTCCACCACAAATGTGCCTGAAACAGCCGGCAATCTGAGGAAAGACAACACAGCTCATGCCACGCACCACAAGCCCTGAGTGGAGCAGACGATCACATGGGGGGCAAAGATCGGAGTGTAAGTTGGCTCAACCACTTTGGAAGCCAGGTTGGTCTCTGTCTGGTAAAGCTGAACACACACAGACCCTCGGTCAAACCAGGCCACTTCCAAGGGTACACCCTTCAGAAACATGAGCGCTAGGAGGCCAAGCAAGGACCTTTGCACAGCAGCAAAGGACCACAACATCCAGCCCCAGAAGATGGCCACAAGGTGGGGCAGATGCCCAGGGACGCCCCACGCAGGGGGAGACAGGCACGATGGCTATGTGGTAGCTCTCTGCGACCGAACCCTCTCTGAGCAGAGAGCAAGGCGTAGTACTGCTTACAAAGGCCAGAAGGTGGAGACACCCGAGAGTCCATCAGCGCAGGCGTGGAGAGCCACTCTGCCTGTCCCTAAAAATGAACTGGGCACTGACACAGCCTGCGACACTGACAAACCTTACACACACAGTGTGCAGTGGATAAGCCACACTCCAGAGGGCAAATACTGTCTGATTCCATTATATGAAATGCCCAGAACAGGTGAACCCATGCAGATAAAGATTAGACTGGTGGCTGCCAGGGACTTGGGACAGGGGGAAGTAGGACAGGCTACAGGGCAGGCTACCCCACTAAACAGGTGCAGGGTTTTCTTCTGGGTGATGAACTAGATAGGGATGGTGGTCACACACACTGGAATTGTACTAGTGAATCAGTGAAGTTGCTCAGTCGTGTCCAACTCTGCCATCCCATGGACTGTAGCCTACCAGGCTCCTCCATCCATGGAATTTTCCAGGCAAGAGTACCAGAGTGGGTTGCCATTCCCTTCTTCAGGGAGAAGAAGGCCTTCCCGACCCAGGGATTAAAACCAGGTCTGCACTGCAGGCAGACACTTCACTGTCTGAGCCACCAGGGGAGCCCCTGGGGTTATACTAGAGGCCACTAAATGGTTAATTCTTAAATGGTTAATTGTATGTCATGTGAATTTCACCTCAATTTCAGGGTGAAAAAACCGAGGAAGGAAGGGAAAGAAGGATGCAAGCACAGTTTTGATTGTCTCAATTTCAAAACGTTCCACATGTTTAAAAAAAAACAAAAAACAAAAAAAACCCCAAAACGTTCCACGCTGAATTATGTATAGTTTAGGGACATAAACGTGATAAAACTCCTCAATAAAAGGGTATAACTTAAAATTTAAGATTCAGACAGTCATTAGCTCTGTGTGGGGGAAGCAGAGGGTGGGATGGGGTGGAGTACTAGGGGTTTTCAGGGTGACAGAGCTGTCTTCCTCCAACTAGTGGTGAGAAGAGTGCCTTAAATGGTGCACATGTTTTATACATGTAATTTAAAAAATAAAACAATGAGGTGTTAAAAGAAGGGAGCATTGCTTTTAATCTGGGAGTAGACAAGGTTTCCCAAAGAAAAGCAATGCCAAATAATGTTCAAACTACTGCACAATTGGACTCATCTCACACACTAGCAAAGTAATGCTCAATATTCTCCAAGCCAGCCTTTAACAGTATGTGAATCAAGAACTTCTAGATGTACAAGCCGGATTTAGAAAAGTCAGAGGAACCAGAGATCAACTGCCAACATCCTTGGATCATCGAAAAAGCAAGACTTTCAGAAAAAACATCTACTTCTGCTTTACTGACTATGCCAAAGCCTTTGACTGTATGGATCACAACAAACTGTGGGAAATTCTTCGAGAGATGGGAATACCAGACCACCTGGCCTGCCTCCTGAGAAATCTGTATGCAGGTCAAGAAGCAACAGTTAAAAACTGTACATGGAACAACAGAGTGGTTCCAAATCGGGAAAGGAGTATGTCAAGGCTGTATACTGTCACTCTACTTATTTAACTTATATGCAGAGTACATCACGAGAAATGCTGTGCTGGATGAAGCACAAGCTGGAATCAAGATTTCTGGGAGAAATATCAATAACCTCAGATATGCAGGTGACATGACCCTTACTGCAGAAAGTGAAGAAAAACTAAAGAGCCTCTTTATGAAAGTGAAAGAGGAGAGTGAAAAAGTTGGGTTAAAACTCAACATTCAGAAACTAAGATCATGGCATCTGATCCCATCAATTCATGGGAAATAGATGGGGAAACAATGGTTGGGCTCCAAAATCACTGCAAATGGTAACTGCAGCCATGAAATTAAAAGATATTTGCTCCTTGGAAGAAAAGCTATGACCAACCTGACAGCATATTAAAAAGCAGAGACATTACTTTGCCAACAAAGGTCCATCTAGACAAAGCTATGGTTTTTCCAGTAGTCACATATGGATGTGAGAGTTGGACTATAAAGAAAGCTGAGTGTCGAAAAATTGATGCTTTTAAACTGTGGTGTTGGAGAAGACTCTTGAGAGTCCCTTGGACTGCAAGGAGATCCAACCAGTCATCCTAAAGGAAATCAGTCCTGAATATTCATTGGAAGGACTTATGTGGAAGCTGAAATTCCAATACTTTGGCCACCTGATGCGAAGAACTGACACATTTGAAAAGACCATGATGCTGAGAAAGACTGAAAGCAGGAGGAGAAGGGGACGACAGAGGATGAGATGGTTGGATGGCATCACCAACTGTATGGACATGAGTTTGAGTATGCTCTGGGAGTTGGTGATGGACAGGGAAGCCTGGTATGCTGCAGTCCATGGGGTTGCAGAGTCGGATACAACTGAGCAACTGAACTGAACTGAAAGGTTTTTTATCCCTGACTTAAAATCCAGAAGCCATTAAAAAAAAAAAAAGTCTCCCTCCCCTCCAAAAGTGGAATTCCTTCCCCATGGCAAAAACACCAGAAACAAAGTCCAAAGACTGACAATACATACTCATAACTTTTATCAAGGGCAAAGAACTAATATCACACTAATATACACTGAGAACCTACAAATCAGTAGGAAAGAGACCAATGACTCCACAGGAAACAGGCTGAGGAGTCAAACACACACTTTACAGAAGTGAAGTCGCTCAGTCGTGTCCGACTCTGGGACCCCTTGGACTGTAACCCACCAGGCTCCTCCGCCCATGGCATTCTCCAGGCAAGAATGCTGGAGTGGGTTGCCATTTCCTTCTCCAGGGGATCTTCCCGACCCAGGGATCGAACTCAGGTCTCCCGCATTGCAGGCAGACACTTTAACCTCTGAGCCACCAGGGAAGCCTGATATAGACTGAGCAGCTACAAATCAGTAGGAAAGAGACCAACGACTCCACAGGAAACAGGCTGAAGGAGTGAAAAACACACTTCACGGAGACAGAAAGAAATTATTGGTATAAAAATGGCTTACTCATGAAAAGAGCCAACCTCCCGTAAGAGAAAATCTAAGTTAATATTATCCTGAAAGACCAAGTCCATGTAAGCTGGCCTGCGCTGTCTGTGGGCCGGGGGCTCCCCTCTGCAGCAGACAGGCCCTGTATGAACTGGGGAAGCCGGGCTGCAGGGCCACCTGGATCCCTCCAGCTTCCACTTTGGGGAGTTTACTCAACAGGCACACACAGGGCAAAACAGGCCTGGATGAGGCTGTGGGCTGTAAGCTGTTTGCAACAGTAAAAGCTTGGAAACAACCCAAATGTCCAGCTCGGGGCCTGGTTAAATAAAGAAAGGCCCATCCATAAAGCGGAACACAATGGAGAAAGAATGAGGAAGCTCTCTCGGTGCAGAAGTGGAAAGATCTCAAAGATACAGGAAGTGAAAAGGCGAGTACAGAACAGTATGTATTCTATGCTGGAGGACACAATATGTATCTGTGTTTCCTTGTATCTACATAAAGAAACACTGAAAAGAAACATGAGAAATACACAAGGCTGCAGGGCAGGAGAGGGAAAGGACATTTCTCTGATACTAAGTTGTATGTTGCCCTTTTTTTTTTTTTCTCAAATCTTTGTTAAAATTCACAGTGTTTTTTTTTGTACATTCACAAGGTTATGCAACCGAAACCACAATCAAGTTTAGAATACTTTCACCATCCTCAAAACACCCTATTCTCTTAGTAGTCACTCCCCACCTCCCCCAGCACCCCCCCAATGTAGGCACCCACCCCCACAGAGCCACTTTCTGTCTCTACGAATATGCCTACTCCTGCCACTTCATACAAACGGAATCATACAATGTGCGATCTTTCGTAACTGGCTTCTTTCACTTGGCATGCTTTTGTATTCTGGACTTCAGTTGTGTGTCTTTTCATTTCTGAATCACATAAAATTAAAATTAAAAAAAAAAATAAAGCAGATCCCCAAATTCAGTGCCCAATGGGAGAAAAGAAAGTGCTTTGCAGACTCTAAGGTGCTTCTGAAACATCAACACTCATTACTGGGGAAAGCCTTGCATGTTTCCGGGGGGACAGTGAGGATGCGGGCACCGGGGGGTTGGGGCTCACTGCAGTCCACCAGCCTAGCAGTGGCAGGAAAGGCTGCAAGGGCTCCTGTGGTGTGAAGAGGACCAGGCCAGAGGGATCACAGCACGTGCAAAGGCCCGACGGGAGTGGGGTGCAGTGAGCTCTGGGTGGTTCTGGTGCAGCTGGTGCTCGAGGGGGCTGAAGCAGACAGCTGAAGAGGCGAGGGCGGAGAAGGTGGGAAGGGTCTCAAGTGCCACAGTCCTAGGCATCAGCCTGAGCCTCTGGGCACCAGGCCTGGCTGTCTTGTTACAAGGCCCTGTGATTCCGTGATGGGGCCATCCTGCGCACTGCAGGGTGTTTTCCAGCCTCCCCGACTCTGCCCACCCTGAGCGAACAACCAAACCTGCCTCCAGGCCTTGCCAAATGTCCTCTGTGTGACAAAATCTGGCGGTCCCACCCCTTGTTGGGACCACTGGTGTATCCGGAAGGACACGAGAGAACTTGAAGTCTGGGTGGCAGGGTGGGGGGAGGAATCTGCACAGAGGCTGCTGCAACTGTCCAGATGACGGGAGCCCCGTGCAGGCAGAGGGCAGAGACCAGGTGACGCAGGGCCTTCGGCACTTATGATTCAGCAGATTGTGCAGAGAGCAGAGGTGTAGGGGGAACGCCCCTCCCTGAGATGGGGGAGGGGTGGTGAAGGGGAGGGGTCTTCGGGCCCCGTGAGCTCTTACACACCATCCTGCAAGGACTACTGTTTGTATCTCTATTCGATGTGTGTGGAACCTGAGACACCAAAGACGAGCAGGGACCTAAGCTGTTAGGCAAAGGCGTCTGACTCCCACTGCTGCCAAGCTGCCTCCGGGTCCCACCACCCCCACCAGATCCCCGCACTGCCCTTGAACTCTCACCAGGAAGTCCCAAGTCCTCTCTCAGACCTCCCTTACTTCTCACAGCTGGGGACCTGAGGCTCAGACAGGTTAAGTAACTGGCCTGAGGTCACACAGAACCGGCTGGGGCAGAGCCAGGATCTGAAACTTCATCTCTGGAGCCGCTGCTTTTTTCTCAATTTCAGTTCCCTAGCATCTCATTCATCACTCAACAGACACACACTGAGCCCTGAGCCGGCCCCGCCTCGGAGGAGCCCAGCTCATCCTCTGTGGCAGGGACAGTGGAGAAGTTTGACTGGGTACAAAGTGCCAGGCGAGCGCAGCAGAGGTGGCCCCTCGGTGGGATACAGCAGGTCTGCGGGGGGCGGGATGAGACAGTCTGCAAAACAAACCTGGACACCGAGAAGGGCTCGGCCCGGCTAGCCCTTGAGGGTCTGGGACCTCGGCAAGTTCTAGGTGGGGAGGGGGATGAGCAACCTCATGTGGGGGCTCCCTCAGACACCTGGCTGGATGGAAGATGGGGCTGAAGCACTCCCCACAATCACCCACTGGGGCGCACCATCCCCTCCCCATTTAGAACTGAGGCCCAGAGACTAAGGAGAGGTCTAGAGAGTTGCTGAGGGCAGCCGGTCAGCGGCTGGTAGAGTAGGTGGCACAAGCTTGGCCACCTCCAGACCCCACGCAGCCAAGGTGAGGCCCTAACAAAGTGGGCCACGCCTGCCAGCCAGCCCCTTGCAATGCCAAGGGCGAGGGAGGAGGAGCCTGAAGAGGACTACTACAGGCCGGGAAGCCACATCCACGAATGTGCTTGTCCTCGGTCGATCCTGGAAAGCAGGGCCTGGAGGCCGCGCCCAGCCCCACCTGCAGAGGCCATCTGGAGTCAGGCCCTGGTGCCAGCACCAGCGACGAGAATGTGGCCAGAGCTCTGAACAAAGGGAGTCAGCGAGGCCAGCCGGGCAGGCCCTACAATCCCTGCCACCCCCATGCCAGCGAGAGGGGCCCAGGAAGGAGCTGGCAGGACACTGCACCAGGCCAGGGTCCCCGCGGCCTGTGCACTGGCGAAGGCAGGACAGTCAGTGGAGAAATGGCTCCCGGCCCCCCGCTCAGGCCCAAGAAGACCCAGCTCCTCTGACAGTAGCAAATCCTAACCAAGACTGAAGGCTGGGAGACACCACAGAAAAGCACCACTCCTGGGTCGAGCGCGTGCAGAGGGTCTGTGCGCCGTGATCTCATTGCTTCTCGCCACCCTGGGGGTCCCACGACCCCACCTTGCAGATAGAGAAGCCAAGGCTGGCAGAGGTCATCCCTTGTCCAAGGGCATACAGCGAGGAAAAGAAAGGCCAGTACCCAGAGCCCGGTAGAATTTATTCCAAAGTAAATTGGAGGAGTAAACTCAGACCTAGATTTTAAAATGAACTAGATGATTACTGGGAATTAAGGTTTCCCTTGGTGGCTCAGATGGTAAGGAATCTGCCTCTAATGCGGGGGACCCAGGTTTGGTCCCTGGGTTGGGAAGATCCTCTAGAGAAGGAAATGGCAACCCACTTTAGTATTCTTGCCTGAAAATCCCATGGACAGAGGGGCCTGGTGGGCTACAGTCTATGGGGTTGCAGAGAGTCAGACATGACTGAGTGAGTCACACACACAGATGATTACTGGATAAACAGAAGTCCTGTCCCAGGGAGGACCAGGAACACTGGCTTTCTGAATGACCTTGGGCTGCCCTCTATTTTGGGGCTTCAGTTTCCCTTCTGCAAAAGAGAAGGCCTGGGGTTCAGCATTGTCTAGAAGCAGGTGTGCACCTGCCAAAAGTTGCCTTAAACCATCGGCTCCAGGCTTCAGTCCTGAGCCCGAAGCTGCCACGATAAAAGGACCCTTTATATCCACCCCAATTTCACAAACAGGAAGGAGATGGGGTACTCCCTCTTTCACAGATGGGAATGCTGGGGCTCAGAGAGAGAAAATGACTTATCCCAGGTTACAAAGCCCATGAAAAATAGACGGGAGACCTGAACTCACCCCCCACATCCCAACTTTCTTCTCCCCTGCCACGAAGGAGGCCACTTCACAGGCCTCTGCATGTCACAGCCCCCATTTCCTCATTCCTTCATTTCAGAGGCTTTCACTGAACCCCCACGTGCTGAGCCCTGGGGCAAAAGTATGGATGCAAGCCAGTGCCCCTCCCCCACCCCCACAGGAGTTCGGAGTCGCAGAGCAGACCTTTCCATCAGCCTGCACTGTCCCCTCCCCCTCTGCCCTGGGCTCTGCGGTATTTCCAGGAGGGTGGTCTACTAGGTGCCTGACCATGACGTGCACATCCGGCTGGCACTTGCCAGCCTACAAGACGCTCTCCCCCATGGAAGACTTCCCCTGGAAGTCCTTGGTCGGCCAGGCAGCAGCATCAAACAAACCTGCTGCATCACACAAACCTCACCGACCGCACCAAGCCAGGTCTGACGGCTCCCTCCCACGTCCTGTCCTCTACATTCTCACTCCTTGGAGGGCTGTGGGTAGAAAGTCTGCCTTTTCTAGTTGTTTGTTTGTTGTTTTTTTTTTTTTTTCTTTTTTGGCCACACCACTTGGCCCACGGGATCTTAGTGCCCTGAGCAGGGATCGAAACTGCACCCGATATTGAAGCACAGAATCCTGACCCCTGGACTGCTAGGGAATGCCTTGTCTTTTCTAATTTTGGAGAGAAGTCCTGGTGGCCAATGTGACCATTCCACCCTGTCTCGATCTGTAAAGCGGGGACAACTCGGCATTGTCCCCAGAGGCGGCTGTGAGCAGAGACCACATTCGCACAGGACTCGCAACACAAGTACTTCCTAAAGAATGTAGGCATACATGTCTCCCCCGACCTTGATGGGGAAGCAGTGGCCCACTGAGAAGCCCTCATACCCCAAGAGGGCAGGGACCCAGACCACTGGCTAAGAGAAACCCTCTGAGGTCTGAAGCAACAAGCCAGGGACAATGACCTGTCGGCTTCCTCCGCTCAGGACAGAACTGACCAACGACTCTTTTTCCAGGAGGGAAACAGAGGCACAAATGCTGCCAAGAGCACCGGGACAGCGACCGGGAGAAACCCCAGGGGCTGCCACCTCGCCCTAACAACTCCCACTCTCGATCAACCAACACAGTCTCTCTCTGGACCAACAACTGCCAAGGGAGGGTCACACCTCCTGACTTCACCCCCCCACCCCCACCCCCATCCAGGGCTGCTGAGAAAGTTGCATTCTCCCGGGTCAAGGACAGGGGTGGGGTGAGATGTCAGTGATTTACTTAACAACAGGAGACCACGCTCAGCCTTTCAACAGGAAGCACATCCGTGGAGAGAGATTCTAAAAGTTACGACCACCGCCCCGCCCCCGCCCCCGCCCCCGCGGTTAGTGGAGAGCCTGCATCATTCCAAAGTTTTCCTGGGCTGAATTCCAGGCAGCCAGACCACAGGGCGGGGGCGGGCCTAGCGGGGGAAGCCAACAGCGGCCCAGGCCACTTCTGTCCACCAGCATCCTTCTTCCCAGGAGACAAGACAGGGGTGCTAACCCAGCCTGGGCTTTCCCACGTCCAGCTGGAAACCCAGATCATCTGCAGCTAGAAACCCAGAGTTAAAAATACCTCCTGCAGCCTGGATGGCAGCACTGACATCCCAGATGCCCACCCTCCTGCCCTGACTGAGGAGTCCCTCGGCCTGCCTTACCCCCAGCCTGCGGCTTCCCTCCCCACCTGGGATGGTTCTGGGACAAAACAACCAAAACACAGAGTCACATTCGAGCTTCAGAGCATGAAATCTTGGCATCTTTCCTCCAAGCCCCCAGGGCTGTCCCAGGGGCTTCAGACCCCACTGAGCTGGAGCCAGAAACACTCACCTAGGTAGATGTCTCCGAAGGACCCGCTCCCGATCTTCCGGCCCAGGCGGTACTTGTTCCCCACACGTAGCTCCATGGTTCACTCCTGTGGAGGGAAGCAGAAACACAGGGTCAGAGAGGAGGGGAGCTGGGAAGGGGGTGAGCCCCCAGACCCCACCCCTCCCCCACCAAAAAGGTCCCGCAAAACCACAAGAAAAAACTCGGGACACTGCAATCTCCCTCCGGCTGGCCTGGAAGGGATTTGGCCTCATTTTGCCTGAAGGGCAACCACGGGTCAGGTAGCCCAACTGCCTCCACAGGTGGTGAAGCTATCAGAACAGGTGTCAGGGTAGCCAGGCAGAAGAAGGCGGTTGGAGACAGGGTGCAGGAGGAAAGAGCAAAGCAAGCAGTTCCTCGGGGGACATGCATTTGGGGACCCTCCAATAGGAGCCTCTTAGGGCAGGCTAGTCACAATGGGCAAAGACCCTGAAAGGAAAATCAAGGACAGAGCGGGTGATGGAGAGGGCAGATGGAGAAGCTGATCACCTTGGGGCTGCTGCCACGGCAACCACCAGCTAATTCGAACCTCCAGGGACAGGAGGACAGAGTGAACGGAGGGTCCCCAAAGGAGTTCCTCAGCCCCCTTAGGACTTGGAAATGATGGGGTCCCAATGGCCCCATTCCCACCCCAGGCTTCCAGCACCAAGAACCAAAGGCCAGGTCTCCACAACCTGCACGGGTCTTCCCAGAGGTAGACTCTGCAAGTTTTCACTGGGCCCCGCAAAGAGAGATCTCCCCAACTCAGGGGGAAGGTCGGAAAGGGGCCCCCAGAACATCCAGCTTCCAGTCTTCTCCCTCTCTCAACCTCGCAACACCAAGAACTGCAATAGGACTCTCTGCACGGCCTTCTATGGATAAACAGACAGTTTGGGGCTGACTTTCAAGACTTGGAGGGTCTCCTAAGAAGGCCCTGCAGAGCAACCGAGGGGACCAAAGCCAAGTTTTGAGCCGCCCGTCAGCTTCTTTGGGATGAGAGGAGGTCTGGGGGGAAAGTGCCAATCTGAGCACTTCCCTCCCTGCTGTGCCCTACCCTGGGTGTCCAAGCTCTCTCAAGCTCTCTGAGCTAGCAGGGACCACCCTGGGAGCGACCCCTCTGCTCTGGCCTGGGGCAAAGATCTGGGCATATTCGAGGTTCTGGCCAGCAGGGGAGGAAACTCCAAGGCTGGGAGGCGAGGTCTTGCTCTGGGGGGCCTATGAAACAAGGAGAGGGTTGTGGGGGAGTCCACTAAGATCACAGAGTGTCTACAAGACAGCCAGTATGGACAACTAGGAAGACGGGCCACTCTCTATAGATAGGGAACTCAGGCCCAGGGAGGTCACGCCGCCTGCTCGCCTGCCCTCCAGCAGCAAGTCTCCTCCCCTAAGGCCCAGACAGGGCTCCTGCTGCCCGACCTGGCGGCTTCCCACCCACCCGCTCATGCCTGGGCCAGGGGGCCACGCAGGAAGGGGGAAAAACAGCCCAGAGTCTCGGCCCCTTCCCCACACCAAGGAAGACCAGGAAAGCCAGACCCACCTGGGAGGCGAGGTGGGAGAAGAGCTTTCTTCCACGAGGTCGTGGTCAGTCTCTGCCCACCGGGGTGGAGGCAAGGAGCCGACAGCTCCTGCCCGGGAGAGACGTCCACCCCAGCGCCAGTTCCCAGGGAGCCGCCGCTAGCCCTTCAGCAGTGGTCACAAGGAAGGAGCCTCCACCCCGCGCCGGCCAAACTCCGGGCTCTCCACCAAGGGCCTCTGCCCACACGCCCCGGCCAGTCTCAGCGGAGGTGCCAGGGCGGCCAGGAGAACCCACTCCACATTTGCGGGAAACTCACCCGCCACACACCTCACACACACACCATCCTGTGTGGACACTTCAAAGGAAGAAAGAAACGCAGACGTGTACCAGGAGCCCCGCTGGGGGGAGGGCTCGGGTGTGTACACACACAAACACCGCCACCCCCCCAGTCCGTTTTCCGCCAACGCCAATTCAGAGACCACACAAGGCAGCCGGGGAAGCCGCAGGTTCGGAAAGGAACATAAATACACCCGCATCCTATATTACATAAATACCCACGCCGGGTTATATAAATACCCATGCCCTCCCGTCTGGGTGTCTTACATAAATACACTGCACATGACCCCCCCAGCCCCTCCCCACTCACCCGGCTGTCGGCAGAGAAGGGGAGAAGAGAGGGTGCAAACCACTAGCCCTGCAGGCAACCCACCCCCTACCCCCACCCTGGGCTGCTCCTACACCCCAGGGGCCAGGGCCCCAAGGAGAGCCTAGACTGTCCCAGCACTGTCCTCCCAAAAGCCTCCCAGAGAGCAGAAAGACTTGAGGCGGGAATGGGAGAGGCTTTCCAGTTCTTTGCTGCTTCTTTTGGGGGGGGAAGAAGGGGGGGTGGCGCTGGAATAAATGAAGGGGATAAAAAAGGCGGACGTGAAGATTCCAGAGTTTCAACCGGTTAAGAAAAATGAGACAAACTACCAAGCTGAATGGCACATGGGCAGTTTTCTTACTCCCTGCCCACCTCCTTCCCTGGATCATTAAAATAAAAATTGGAGGGACATCCCAGCCAGCCAGCCAAAGAAGCCCCAGACATAGGCATTTATTGAACGAGTGCAACTTAAGATACTGGGGATCCCCTGGCCCTGTCCCCAAATCCTTCTCCTGAGGAAGGCTGATCCAAGAATATATGCAAGAAAACTAAGAGAAAAAGTTGGGGAGGGGGCTCACCCCACTTTGAGTTTGGTGTGAAGAGCTTGGGAATCCACTCTCTAAAGACACCCGGGCACAAACATAGTTTTCTCTTCCACGGGGACTTGCAAAACATGGATTTCTCATAGGCAGAAATGGGAGAATCCGATCTGATAAATAACCCCCACCCCTTTCTTTCTCTCCACAAAGGAAAACAAGAGTCGGTGGCTGGGTGACCAGACACCCCATCACCCCAGGGCCCCCAAGCGCCCCCATCCAACATGCGGGAGCAGCCCTGCTGACCCCCAGGTCTGGAGCACCCAAGCCAGGAGCGGAGGGGTGGGGGGCGCTGCTGATGGGCTGGTGAAGCCTATCGAAGCCCAGGGTTTGGCCGAGAATCCCGAATCAACAGAATAGGGTGTCCCCGGCACCCCAGTCCCGGACCAACCCCCCCCCCCCCCC